GACTCTCTTCCTCGCGGAGACGCTGTCAGCAGAGCGAACGCCGGGCCTGTCTCCCAGGGAGGGTCAGAAGCCGGGCAAGTGAGGGCAGGACGCGCCGTCCCGCTTTGCCCGAAGGCCGTGTCACCCCGGCCGCCCTCTCATCCTCTTCGGTCGCACTTGAAGCTGGAGCTCGGTGATCCTCAAGGTCCCTGCCGCCTCCGAATGCGCTGTGTCCGTGCTCAGCATCCCTTGTCCCGGGGGTGCGTCCCAGCGCGCTGCTGAGGCCGCCCCGCTGGGCCCGGCTGCTCCCCGGCTGCCCTGAGGCCCCTGCGTGCCGGCCTCCCTCGCCAGGCCTCGGCACAGCCGGATGAGCCCCCGTCAGAGGGTGTTTGGCACGTCGGGAGTGGAGTAAGGAACCAGTTCTGTCCTGGCTCCCTGTCAGACATTCACTGTCACGACGCTGAGCGGCTTAAAATGCTTTTGTCCCTCTGTATAGTCTCACCGTGGCAGCAAGGACAGCAGCCTGGCCATGAGCTTCCTTCTAGAAAGAAACTAAGCAAATCAGTGGGAAAGGTTATTACTGACTGATTCCTGTAACAGTCCCTCCTGTCCTGCCACTGTCGCATCCTTCACAGTCGGGCTTTGTCCTGCTTGATCTCATCAACAAATATATTGGACTGTAATCTACCTCAGCAAAATCTTTTATCCCTCTTCTCCATAAAAACATTTATTTTGGCACACCTAAAGGACTAGCTAATGGCTTGGGAAGAGCAGTGGAAAGAAGGCCTCAGAAGTGCCCTTTGTAAGTTGAAATATATTTAAAGTACCCACATAATGTAAAACATATAAAAACAGAGTAGTTAATATAAATTCATAACCCTAACAACAACAAAAGGAACATTGAAAATCTTACAGGGTATAGTGTAATAAAGAGACACTGGTGCATTTTTATCCAGGTAAGCTAAATCTTACTTTAGGGTTCAGATGCAGAACTGCAAGGAAATGATGGCCTCAGTTCATCTGCAGGCAGGATGCTCAAAATGAACATGGGCTCAGAGGGGCTCTGCTCCAGGGCCTTTCTTATAAAGCCTTAACTTCCTAAACACTCAAAGTCTGTAAAATCTTACTAGTGTTCCTGTATCTGCTCTGACATGGTATGTGTTTCCTACTTGAGATCAGCAGCGGTTTGTTGACTCTTTAGTTGACTTAGTCAAACAATGTTTTGAGCCATAATTTGTTGTCCTAGATGCTAACTAAAGGATGACAGGATCATGCGTGTGTCACCTGTGCCCTTTGCGGCAAGAGGAGCATGGCAGCAACTCACTTCAGCATGCCCTCAGGAAAAACAAAACCAAACCAAACAAACAAACAAACAAACAAAAACAACCCAAAAAACCTCAACAAAACACACACACACACAAAAAAAAAAGGGGGGATGTATGCAGCAAGATGGATTCCAGATCTTAGCAGCTACCTCATGACAAGCTGAGTACCATGAAACATGGGCTTTAATGATGGTGCTGTCTGAGAGGTTTCCTGCTTCCTGGCTGCCCTATACAAGTCTATTTCCCCTCATACCACACCCTGAGCTGTGCTGTTTGTGGAGCAACACAGTGAACTCAATCGGAGAATTGATCCAGATTTTAAAAAGTCTTTGTTTTGCCAGGAGTTTTAATGCAGGTCAATTCACGGATCTATTTGTTTGGAGGCATCAAGAAGTGAGGGAAGAACCACACACCCTAAAGCCCCCAAGCAATGATAATACACCCTCTGTGGCTGGTGAATCAGAAATCTGTGGCTGGTTTTCAAAACAGGGTACAAGGGCTGGGAAAAATGCATAACATCTGTGCTGCCCCAGTCATAAAAGCCGTTAACGCTCCAAATCTTTCTCCTTTTCTTTCCCTTTCCTTCACCATAAGCTTAATTTCTATTTTTGTTTTACCAATTTACAGTAGCAAGGCTGGTACATGATTTCAAGTGCGGGAGGGAGCACTGGGCAGGGAAAAGGCACAAGGCCCCTCTCTAAAGGTAGATTTAAACTATGTTTTTTAAAAATAAGATTTAATGCTAGGAAGCTTAATAGTTTACTTCCTATTTATTGATTTTCATAGGGTAACTGTCACTTCCCACCCAGCTGCCCTTCTAGGTAATGCTGACATGAACTAGATGTATTTCAACTTAGATCTCCTTTGCTCATAGGATTAGGTCATATTTGGGAGTTGTGTCGCTTTCTGTAATGTCACATAAACAGCTGTGTCCAGTCACAAATTGGAGGAGGGATTACAATGCAAGTCTTTTGTTGAAGTGTGTGTTCTTGAGAAAGACTGCTCTGAGCAGGCAATCTCTCCCTTGCTTCTCAAGCTCAATTGATGAGACAGTTTGTCTAGCAGGATTCAAAGACAGGAGAAGGAATGCATGAGGTGGAATATGACAGACTGCAGTGGACCACTAGACAAGCCAGCTCTGTGAGGTTCATGCTTCATGCATGAGACTAGTCAGGTCTCCCATCATGTCCCTTAGGATCATGCAAAAGTCAATCCGGGTGACTGAATACCAGAGGAGGCTATAAGCTCATGATTTACACCAGAAGTTACATAAAAATACCTCTGAAAAGCAAAAGGAAAATGATCTATCTGATCTTTATCCTTAACAGGAAGGAGGTAATCTGATCACGCTTTACTGCAATAGTGTTTGAGGTGCAGCCATACCTCCTTACTCTGAGTTCTTCATCTGGTGATGTTTCTCAACTAAATATAACATAGGACAGATTTTAAAAGCTGTTGAAACTGACTTTAAGTCTGCCATTTATAATGGTTTGCACTTCCTGTTTGGTGTATGTTCAGATAGACATTCCAGGGCCTTAGTTAAGAGTATCATTTAACTGCAAATCTAACAGATTTTTCTGGGACGCCAGTAAAGATTTGGTGTTCGCCTAAAGGAAAAGGAGGATAGAGAAGTGCCAATAAAGAAGTTATAAGGGTACCAAGCTGGCTAACTGAAAAGAAGACAGTAAGACAGTTGGTGTAATTTGAAGAATTTGCCGTTGTATCAAAGTCCTGTTTAAAATTCAGGTTTTAATGTACAGTTAAATTTCCACTCAGGGGTGTCATGTCTATTGAAACGTCATGCATACTGCCAGTGTTCTAATTACTCCATTATCACCAGCTTCAGCAAAGATCATTGAACAATTCTGATGCACCTAAATAATTATTTTGACTACAGGGTAGAATATTAGATGAAATTCTGACTACGTGTTGTTTATTTTACAGACCTCAAAGGACAAGGTGGGCCAGCAGTCACCCTTCAGGTATGCACGTTACTGAAACCTTACAGACTTGTAAAGTTTGCTTTAGAAATCAACAAAAAACCCCACAAACATACATGACATGATGGATAAAGAAAGAGATAGAAAGCAGATATGCTTACTGGGCACTTCAAGGGATGCAACCAGCACATAAAAAGGAAAACAATCATAGCTGAGCACGAGACTGCAAAAAAACCCAAAGAACAAGCAAGAGTTGTGTGATATTTACATAGCTTGGTACAGATTAAATAACATACATCGAGGGTAACAGTCTGTGAGGTTCAGTTTAAGTTTATGTGATTCTTCCCACCAGGGCAGTAGTGGTAGCACTATAGTACCTTCTCATGTTTGGTTCCATGGAAGACTCAGTCACAGAACATAGAAATCATGTTGTATCCCAGGTCACTATTTCACTGTCAACAGCAAATTGTCAGAATATTGAGACATCTCTGGTGTTACTGAATAGGTACACTCCACAGTCAGGCTGTAGGTTAGTGAAACTGAAACTGTATAAAGCCTTTTTGCTGAAATAATGATGCTTTACTCTGAATTTTTACTTGGATATAAAGCATTTTCCTTCAGTAATATAATTCCAAAAGGTGAGTTGGGTTTCCCTGAGCCTCAGGTTTTCTTACCTACTTGTGGATTAGTCTGAGGAACCATTAATTTAATCCTCTGTATGAACTGGGCTTGACTTTTTAGCTAGTGTTTCAGTTTGTGTAGCCTGTCAGAGCCATTTATACTCTGGTTCTGCTTTCTTCAGTTTTCCCACCCAATGAAGCCGTCAAACTTTCTTAGACAGTTTTACCATATGCTGCTTTTCTTTTTGCTAAAAAATGTAGATACTTTCTTCTTTTATTGTACCCTTTCCAACTAAAAATGTTTCCTCTTCTAGAACTGTCTTGATTTTTATATTTTTTTTTTCTCATTGTAAATGCACTGGCTTAAGTATTCAACCATGACAGATCCTTCTGGGAGCATGTTGTTATTCTGTTCCTACATGCAGAAATGTTACAACTTGTGTAGTGATTGTCTGCTTTTGTCAGCAAATCACTTTATCTATAGAGAAACAAGAACGTGACAACAGCTTCTTCCCTCTTATAGAAAAAATACCTTATATCTGGGCTTTCAAGACCATCCACATATTCTCAGATTTAAATGCTGATTTATCTTGTTTACAATGGGATCTGGCCATATAAGCTTTCTTTGTAAAACTCTTCAACCCATGACATAGTGGAGCATCTACTTTTCAAAATCTCTTGTTAAAAAATTTCTTAAGGCATGTACTGATAGATGAGAAGAGAGCAATGGAAATTATCTACCTGGACTTCAGTAAGGCTTTTGAAACTGTCTCGCACAAGATCTTCATGGAGAAGCTTTTGAAGTATGGGGTAGATGAGCAACCAGTGAGGTAGAATGAAAACTGGATGAACAGCTGGGCCCAGAGGCCTGTGATCCATGGCATAAAGCCTAATTAGAGTCCAGTAACTAGTGGTGTAGC